GAAGTTGTATCTCCCCAAATAATTGCTCATGCTTATCAGGCTATTATGGAAATGAGTGTACTCAATATGATTGTTATGGAACTTCCTCAACAAGTGGTTCAGTTTGTTCTAGATATGGTGAGTTGTATCTCCCCAAATAACTGTTCATGTTTAGTTGGATATTATGGAAATGATTGTAGCCAATTTGATTGTTATGGAACTATATTCACGAGTGGTTCAGTTTGTTCTGGACACGGTAGTTGTGTTGCCTCAAATAATTGTTCATGTTCATCAGGCTATTACGGAAATGATTGTAGTCAATTTGATTGTTATGGAAATGTATCAACAAGTTCAGCATGTTCAGGACATGGTAGTTGCTTGTCACCAAATAATTGTTCATGTGTCTCTGGATACTATGGAAGTGATTGTAGCCAATTTGATTGTTATGGAACTGCCTCCACAAATACATCATCATGTTCTAATCACGGAAGTTGTATCTCCCCAAATAATTGCTCATGCTTATCAGGCTATTATGGAAATGAGTGTACTCAATATGATTGTTATGGAACTTCCTCAACAAGTGGTTCAGTTTGTTCTAGACATGGTAGTTGTCTCTCACCAAATAACTGTTCGTGTTTAGTTGGATATTATGGGAACGAGTGTACTCAATATGATTGTTATGGAACTGTCTCAACAAGTGGTTCAGTTTGTTCTAGACATGGTAGTTGCATCTCACCAAATAACTGCTCCTGTTCAAGTGGATACTACGGAAATGATTGTCGAAAATTTGATTGTTATGGAACTGCCTCAACTAGTGCATCAGTATGTACAAATCACGGTAGTTGTATCTCCCCAAATAACTGTTCCTGCTCAAGTGGATACAGTGGATCAGATTGCAGTTCTTTCAAATGTTTTGGTATTGCCCCAAGCAATGCCTTTGTTTGTTCTGGTAATGGTACTTGTAATTCTCCAAATAATTGCTCCTGTTCAGCTGGATATTTTGGTAATGATTGTAGCCAATTTAATTGTTTTGGAATTTCCTCAACTGCATCAGCTTGTTCTGGAAAAGGTAGATGTGATTCTTTCGATCATTGTTCTTGTCAACCTGGATATTCTGGAAGTGATTGTGCTCAATTCACTTGTGGTGGCATTTCTTCTAATGCTTCATCTGTTTGTTCTGGACATGGTAAATGTACAGACTTTAATACTTGTGTTTGTGATAGTACAGCTGTCAAGGGTTTTTGGACTGGTTCAGTTTGTTCAGTATGTGTTTCTCCATACATTGGTTCTATGTGTAGTAGTTTGGTTAAATGTAATGCCACAACAACTTGCAGTGGAAATGGTTATTGTAATGATCTTGAACAATGTACTTGTTTTGCTGATAACAAGAAGGGTTTCTGGAAGGGTGAATCTTGTTCCTCATGTGCTGATGGAGTTTATGGTGAATTGTGTTCAACCAAGATTATTGGACCAGTTCTTTTTATGGATGATTTGACTGGTTTGAAATTTAAGGTTGTTGCACCTGCATCTTATTCTTCTACATATACCAATAGTATGATTCTTGATTGTAACAAGTTGTTGAAGAGTGTTGATCTTCTTGGAACCAAACCAAAATGTTACTGGACTAACAAGGAAACCTTTGAATTCTCAATTGAACTTGATTCTGATTACAAATTGAAGGCAGGTGATAGTATCTCTTTGAATAATTTATACTTTGAATCAAATAATACCGCGGTTCAATATTTGGCATTTACCGTCCAGGCTGCTTTATCACCAAAAAGACCAATTGCCACAATCTCTGGAGCTAAGGAAACTTATGGAAGTTGTGAAGATGTTTTAATTGATGCTTCTGAAAGTTATTCACCTGATAGAAAGGCATTAAATTTCAAATGGACTGTATTGTTAGCACCTAATAAGGTAGCACTTCAAAACTTGTTGGATACATCTCTTGTTTCTCCAAGTAAATTGAATGTTAGCTATTCTGGTATGAATGCTGGTTTCCATAAATTTGAATTGGCCGTAACCAGTCAAGTTTATTCATTGGTTGATAAGATTCAAGTCAGTTTCACAAAACTTGCGTATGCTGTTCCAGTTGTTTCCATTGATGGTTTATATGAAAGAAGTACAATTACTGTCAAGACTAGTGATGTTCCAATTTCAGTCAAGAAGAAGCTTTCCATTCCAACATACATGGACTCTGCTGCAAATATTGACTACACATGGAAACAAATAAGTGGTCCTCAAGTAGAATTCGCAGTTGATTCATTCAAGAATTTAAAGATTACCAAATTCAATACCATTGGAAATATTCAATATGTTTTCAAAGTCTCTGCTTTCGATACTTCTAATATTGACAGAGTTTCAACGGCTGAGGTCAATATCAACACTGTAGCTCAAGCACTCTCAATGAACATGTATGTTTTAGATTCTACTCCTCAATACAGTACCATTGGATTAGATTTCACTGATCCTGAGTCTGAAAATGTTCAACCAACTTATTCTTGGACATGTGTGAATACTGTTACAAACACTGCTTGTCCAGCTGCTGTTGTAAATTACTTATCTCAAGGTGTTCTTGAACAATACAAGATTGAAAAGTCAATTGTTGGTTCAGCAGAAAATGTTAGAATTAGCCTTAATATTCAAAAGGGAAGTAGATCTGTTCAATCATCAGTTGATTTGATTTTACCACAACAAGCAGAGAATGTCATCATGCCACCTTTGATCTCTGTTGTTCAAGTATCTTCCTCAAAGGTAAATAAGGGAGATTATGTCAGCGTTCAATTGGTTGTCACTATTAACGGTGATTCAAATATTGATCAATTCATCACTAGAACATGGTTATTGAATGATAAGGCCATTGATGCTGTATTGACATCACCTATGAGCAGCAGTCCATCATTGTCAAATTCTCTCATTTTGGATACCCAATATTTGGATGAAGGTAGTTCTAATACCATTTCATTAACTGTCTTGGATAATAGAAATAATCAAAAGACATCATATTCTTATTCCTTCTCTGTTAACAGACCTCCAAAGGCATGTAGTTGTGCCATTAGTCCAACTTCTGGTGTTGCCTTGACCACAATCTTTAATTTCAATTGTGAAAATTGTCAAAACGATAAGAAGACTTATGCTTTCGAATATGGTTTCATTGATGATTTCTCAGGCTCTTTTATTTCCTTATCCAAGGATGAAGAATTGTATCAAAAACTTCCAACTCCAAATTCTGGCAATAATCTTGAACTTTATGTTAAGGTTATTGATACTGAAACACTTGCAACAACTCTTTCCAAACAATCAGTTCAAATTACAGCTCCGTCCGTAGAAAATGTCATGGAAGTCAAGGATTACATTACAAAATGGAATGCCATCTCCTCATTATTACCATCTGGTGATTATGCTAGATCTGTTTTCAACTCTGCAACCATTTCAAGAACTTTCCAGAGAATGAGAGATTCCTTCCTCACAACTACATCAAGAAGTGTAAGGACTGATTGTTCTGGTCATGGATTTTTGATTAAAGAAAAATGTGTATGTGAGGAAGATTACACAACATCTGACTGTAGAATGACAAAGAAAGATTATGAAATTTTGAATGGAATTAATCAAGATTTGGCAACTGCATTCTTCTCTTCTCAACAAGTCAAGTCTGAAAATGGAGAAAAGACAACTGGAAAGTTCTTTACTAACATAATGTTCGGTGTTGAATCTTTATTGAAGAGTGACGTTTCTGCCAATCTCTATAATAAGAGTTTGAATATTATCAGGTCAACCTTGGATGATGCTGAAAATTCTCCATCATTCCAAGTTGAAGTCGGTGCTGATAAGCTGTTAATTTCATCACTCAACTCAATGCATTCGTACTTAAAGACTTTACCTTCTTATGATTATTCAGAATTGATGGAAAGTTGTCACATGTTGGCATCATTACTTTCAAGAAAGGTTCTTGTTGGTCAATCTTCTTCCAAGTTTGAAACTAATTTTGCAGTTCATCAATTCAACAAGCAATTTAAGAATACTTTTGATTCTCAAGTATTGACAGAAAGTAAAACTTCATTGACCCTTCCTTCAACTGTTTCTCAAAGGTTACAAAGCGTGTCTCTCAGAAAGCCAGTCAATTACATTTGGATGATTATTAAGGATGTTTCTCAAATTATTACTCCTCAAGATGGTAAAACTAATACTATTGTTTCAGATTTGTCTGAAATTAAATTCTCAACATCTATTACAAACTATTCCTCACCAATTACTCACTCCTTGCCACTTACACAAACCTTTAATGATAAGGCAACTTATTCATGCATTCAAGTTACAAACGGTCAAGTCATTGATGCTTCTTCATGTAAATTCTCTTTCAATACTAATTATGGAAACTGTGAATGTTCAGAAAATGTTAGAGTTGGTATTTTATCATCTATTCCAATTGAAAAACCGGTTAATCCTGAAACTCCAAAGAGAATCTCTGATTTATTCTGGATTTTGTGGTCTTTCTTGATTATTTGCTTTATCATTTTTGCCTTTATTGTATTGGGAATTGTTGGTTGGTATGTTGTTAAGAAAATGAAACCAGAAACCAGTAATGAATCAAAACAAGGAGTTGAACTGAAATCGGTTTAAATGTCTAGGCGATTAATATCGAATAAAGAACTAATTAAGATTCCTTAACATTTTTCAAAGTTGAAAAAAAAATAATCACTTCATCATTGCTGATTATCTCATCATTTCAATATGGAAAACATTGATATTCAATGTACATCATATTTGGATACACGAATAGTAATTTTATTGTTTGAAATTTTAATCGTCAAGAAATTTAATATCATCATCACTTTAGAAAAATTTCAAATCAATAAATACATCTCGGATGTTGTTGGAACAGGTTAATTTAAATAGTATTACGCAAGTTTACTCTTTGAAATTATTTTAATTTGGCTCAGGGTTTGGTTAGGATTCAGAGTTGATTTATTTGGGTTATTTAAGATATTACTTAGTGAAGATTCATATCATTGATTATATTTCTTATCATCTATTATTGATGTAAATTTGATGTTTTAATTTCTTGTATTGATAGATATTTAAAGGTCAGGTCAGTACTAACTTTTGAACTATGGACTTTGAGAATTCAAATGTTTGGGACGTGAATCTACTCATTAGATTGAATAGGTATTGCTAATAAAGTAACATTTCATTGATTTATTGATTATAACGGTCAAATTGAGTTGAATGGAAGTGAATCTAATGTTGATTGATCGTGGATGGGTAGTTTCGCCACGAAGTGGTGCAACTACCAACCTTTGTAGATTGAATCAGGTTGATTTGCATGCAATATGAATAAGTAACATTATCAAGAGTGATTATTCACCAATTCAATGATCAATATTCAATAATCGGTTTGATTTCAATCAATAGCTTTATCATCAAGCTTTGAATTAATATTCCAGTAATTAACGGCAGTCTATTTTTAAATTTAATCAAAGACCATATATAGTATCTTGACTTTTATGATCTGGAAACTATCTATATGTGTTCTATATTGAATAATCTATTTGAAAATGAGAAGAATTAACTCTTCTATTGAGTTTTATTGGTATGGCAAGGTATTACGATTATACTAATCTACACAGAAATCACTCTTGAAATATTAACTGTACTACAATGTATGAGAAACATAATGGTGGTGGAATTAATCAATAACTCGTTGAAATGACTGAGATGGAATGTAAACTATGGTCTATTTGTCATGAAATGGTGACCTGACAGTGTCAGTTTCATCAAATTATTTCAAACTGATTACATTCAATAAAAAACCGTTCTATACATCAAACATGTCATACAGAATGAGTTTCAATATTTAATATTGTGAACTGACTCTGTTGGATAGCATCTCTATAAATATAACAAGATGAAAAGTGTCAACATTCAATTTCACATGCATGTTACAATGGAGAGTCATCATTATATCATCTAAATAGGAGATGGTACTAAGTGACGGTGAAACGGGGGACGGATGAGACGGAGAACACTCAGTTTCTTACTACAGACGGGAGAAGAGCATCCGCTTAATACTGATGACGGTAAACCAAAATGGAAAATGCACAACCTTAGTAACACCGATAAATTGAATGATACATTTAATAAAATTGAATTTTCCAATTATATTAAATAGATTCTCTTGTGTTGTTTGGCTTGAATTGTTGGAACGAAAACCAAGCAAGGTATTACTAGAGTTTGGTTGATTTTTTGAAGCAAGGTTTGTTTGTTCAGTTGCGAATATGTGAAAAAATATTTCAACATCTAGTACGTGATGTACTTTGATGATTCTTCGAGTGGTTTCACATCCGTAAGCTGCCAAACTTTCACATCATCATCTCAACATCATCTAAATAGTAGTAATAGTAGTAATTTTTATTATTGGACTTTCATCATAAAATAGTAAATCAATTTTTGGATTATAATTTTTCAAGTTGGTAAACCATCCTCGGAACACTCACCAACCGTCATCATAGATATATTTAATATAGTAGAATAGTATGGGTGATTTCTATGTCTTGGAAATATCTTTATTTTGGTGAAACTCAACATTTTACTAGGGTTTGGATATTAATCTGCGCTCTTAAAACATCATTATTTATAAGACTTCATATACATCGATATATATCATTAGATAGGAAATGTTCACGGCTACATGCTGATATATAATTTTAATATTGGTTGCTATCAAATAATGTAGATAATCAACTCGTTTTACCTCAATATTTCTGTGTTTTTTGTTCTCTTGGGGGGGCTTGCTAGATACGCAACCATTTGGCAAAAGGTGAAAAATCGCATAGGTTCAACTTAATTCTCTACAAAATGACGTTGGGATATTTGCATTTAATTCAGTAATTGTTGAGTATTTTGTATTTGAATTGGTGTTAAACTTGTTAATTTTCTATTGCTTAATAGCTGTGTTGAACAAGTGTGAAACTATCTTTAATTGCGGTGCGCACTTATTCCGATATCATTAAGATCATTAAGGAACAAGTAAATAATATTTATTAATATTAGGTGGAAGTGGTAATGTTTCTCACTCCACAATTTGCTTGTTGGCAGTGCTAATAGCCATGGATTTAAAGCCATTATTTTGATAATCGCATTAATTAACTCCATTTTTAACCCTTTAAAATATTACGATTATCAAAATACAACGCCAAATTACTCTGCTTCCAACACTTTTCCGATGTATGAATCTATTTATCAAGATCATCAGGATAATCTTCAATGATACTGAATTTAAGTAGATGGTGGAGGTACCATCTCTTGTTCATCAAGTTGAATCTTCCCTCCATCATTTGGTGAGGGAGCAACTTCTCCCTTCCATATTGTTTAATAAATTATTGTTATTATCATATAATGATACAATTCTTGTTGTTATTTTGTTAATTGTTGTTCTTAATAGAAGCCGACAATTCCAGGTCATACAACCACTTGGTTCTTCATATGAAGCATTTCTAGAAATTACAGCTATAACACTGTTGGTTCAGTGGTTGTATGCCGGATCGTCAATTAAGGGACGAGTGATCGATTCAAGGTGATTTTACTAACTTATTCATTATAACCACCTTATTTTTTTTAGATCTTCCTTAATACTTGACAATTTTAAAAGATATTGATATAACATATTCAGTACTACATATAAACAACTCTATGTCAATTTCAATTGATTTAGTCAAGTATTTATTGAGAAAGAGTATGATCTGTGACATGATGTGTTGACAACTTTACAAATATTGATTTAAACAATATAGTTATTTAGAAGAGTCCTATTAATATTTAATAAATATACTATATTTCAATTTTCAATTATTGACTTGATGTACTTAATTGACTTGTCTATTCTAAGGTTGACTTAGTTGACTTGAAGATACTGAGCCATCAATTTGAAACTTTCTCAGATTGTACTCCTCATCAAGAGGAGTCTATTCATATTTGATACTAGTATGATATTTTGTAAACTGACTGAGATGGAGTGTAATCTCTTTTTTGAAATGTGATATTTTGAAAGATTGTTATTATTATCATATTGAATTCAATTCTAAAACTATGAAATTGATACCAGATGTATAATAGTGTGACTAAACGTATTGGGTAAAGTTACAGAATGATTGGAATAACTTTCACTGAGATGGAGTGTTCACTAGGATATATATAATGTTGATATTGAACATTTACTGATTAATTTTATGAAAATAGTTTGAAATGTTTCTTAACTATTGTAGATGTATTTAATTGATATATAGACTATGTGGTATCAATTCTAGACTTGTTATACGTAAAATGAGTGATTTGGAGTATAATCTATGATATCATGTCAAATATCTATAGTAAATTGATAGAGTTGACACCTCGACATCTACTGAACCAATATTCATGAAATTGATACCACATACTAATTAGAGTGTCTACATACCATGATAT